CCCAAACAAGCAGCTTTTACAACACACTGAAGCTGCAGCGAGCTGTGACTCTTCGATCAGTGCAACCTCTTCTCCGTCTGCACTGCAGTACTTAGACTATCACATTATAATCTGCACTCTCGCAATGCTCCTCCATTCCTGGTCTACGTGATGAGACAGTTCCTACTTTCTGCTTATCTGGGAGATATGGGAAATGGGAGAGGGGAGAGGATGTACCTGTTTTTTCTCTCCAAGCTCTTTTGACAGTTGGATGAATTCATTCAGAGTTATAAAAAGGCCACAGCTAACTGTAGGCTATAACAGATAATATACCTAAAAGTGCAATATAAATAAATGAGTGAAAACTGACTGTTGTTGGATGGGAATTTACTGTCTTTTACTATCTATCGTTCATCAACACTGATCTCTTGAGAGAAAGTAAAACCCAAGAGGTAGCGATTCAAAATGTGACAGACGCTTTGGCTTCCCAAAAAATATGAACACTGAATGAAAGTCTTTGTGATGTTTAATCTGTCATATCCAAAAGAGACCTTGTTGAAGCAGCAGAGTGGGTGATTGAAGGAGGCAGAGCACAAAGCCCTTTTCCAGAAACCCTTTTTTTTTTTTTTGGGACTCAGGAACATTAGCCACGTTTCTAACCCGAGGAAGCTGGGTCTAAATTTAGTTCCTGGGCAATAGTTTTTGTCCCGTCAAACATCCCTGGGCCAGAAATGTTCCTCACACAGGCAGGTATTGGTTTCCAGTCAATATTAGGACTATGAATGCTAATGAAGGATGATAAATGTTTGATATTTAAACACAGCTATAGAGCAGACGAACATACACTCAAAAGATTAAACTCACACAGCAGTAAATTATCAGGAACAACGTTAACTGTGTTGTTGTCCAGCCACATGCAAAAAAACTCACTGCTTTCCGTTATCAGTCTAATTTACTTTATCTTCGTGACTCTTCAGATGTTGTAGATGTGCAAATGGAGTGGCACAAAAATAACTTTTGATTCCTGACTGAGTTCCTGCTTTATCTCAGTTCCTGCGACAATTAAATAAAAAAAATAAAAAAAGGCGCCACACGCTTCCTAGAAGGTTGAGTCCCAGACCACCCTGAGTACACTTCTGACCCATGGCTAGACCAGTGTTTCAACCTTAAGACAGTGCTGTCACAATGCCCTCGCTGCGTGGAAAGGGGCCTTTCTGGAGTTGTACCAATTCAATCTGATTCTCCGCTGGATTCCTCACATCAATACCTGCTCAGGTGACTCTGTTGTGCTTCCTCCCAGAAAGCAGGCTAATGTGACGCTTGTATTGTGGCTTTAGTGTGATGCACAATCGAACTGAAGACAATTATATAGCTTCTTTAAAAATCACCAATCGTCTCTCAGCAAATATTCTTTGTTCCGCCTTGTGTACAAAATATTACAGTACTCTGAAGTGATATTAAGATAGACATAAATAACAGCCAGCTTTGTTGTCATTAAAAGCCTCCATTTTTCACAGCACTCTTTTCAGTTAATACAGCCGGTCATTCGGCTGACTCTTCTTCACATAAAAGTCAAAACATTACCCTTGAATGTCCTTGTCTATCAGTGATGTGACCGCCTGCTTACGCAACCACCACACAGAGTAAAAACACAAAGCCTGTAGTGGCCGCAGAGAAAGCCTACTCAGGTTTCTGTTGACACACGCAGTGAAATCAGGCTTCCCAGAGCATCACCTCATTTTCCCACCATCACTACACCGCCACAAAGTCTAGCGGCGGTGAGATTTGTTGCGGCGTAACAGAGACGTGCTACAAATGCGTGTGGTCAGAGAATGAAGAGCTAAATAATGCAGACCCGGCACAAAAGAAAATAAAAGTGTATCTGCTTGAAAATCTACACAGCAAGCAGCTTGTGTCATGGGAGAGGAATGAGGAAGTGATGTGGTATTTGAGCCTGCAACACTGAAAATCCAAAACAATGCAAACACTCCCCCCCGAGAGCTGTTACCACCTTTTTACTTATTTACTGACTATGATTTACAAAACGAGATATGGGCTAAAAACAAAAAAAAAAAAAACAGCATAGAATTCATGTGGCATTAATAAGTGTCTGCAGCACAAAGACTGGTTTAAGTGGAGATAGCAATAAATCAGGGGTAAATGAGTTATACACCATGCTATGGTTCAATAAAAGGGTAAGCATGCCTTATCAGGGTGCTGCCACAGCACAGGCACACGCACACACACACACACACACACAATGTGCTCTCCACAACACGCTGTTAAAGAGCCCCTACAGCTCATTGTGTTCAGGAAACAGTGACCCCCTATTTACCATCCCAGCCAGCAATTACCACACTACATTCTCACCACCCCCGAGCCCCTGGCCCGTACAAGCAGGGTCATGGGCTACGGGTGTAATTTCTAAGACAATAACTTGCATCAGACGTGGCTTTATAGAGGCCATTTTGTGTTTATCAGGCGAATGCCAGAAGCTGTGTCTCATTCAAACACACACACATATATATTCTCGGGTGACAGGATCGAGGTAAGGGGGGCAGTTACCAAGGTCTCACGTGGCCTATGAAGAAACAGATCTTGTATGAAAACATGTACGGGTGACAATTTATATCTGTGTCCACAAGAACGGGGCTTGGCGATAACAAATGACAATATGTCAGCAGCAGACTGAGGTCACGCGCCACACAGGAGTCGTCCAAATACGACTCCGTCTCCACGGCTAAGATGATTAATTCACTGATCAGGCTGATTTACTGGAAGCAGCAGAACATGGGCATACTTCCGCAGAGGATTACGACTGAATTATTCATTAGCTGTTAACATTGCTGTAAACAAAGTGTAACTGTGTGATTTAACATTTTTTGTTTAACAAAGACAAACGGCGTCCAGAGTTTAACCAGAGAAGCTGAGACAAAAACGCTGAATAATACAGTATTAATGTTGCGATGGTGACTGTGCTGTACTAAACGTCCTGGCAACTAGTGCTGACATTGCATTTATTCCCAAATGATTAGTTTATTAAACAAGGATCAACAGATAATTAAGATGCAACTATTTTGATAACAGATTAATAATTTAAGTCAATTACCAAGGCAGAATGCTTCCAGCTTCTAAAATGTGATGATTTGCTGTTTTTTCCCCCCATTTTATATTATAAAACAAGTACATCTTTATGATGGTTCAACAAAATGAGCAGTACTAACAGGTCACCTTGAGCTCTGAGAAATTGTAGGCACTGAAGTAACATTTTCTTGAAATAACGATGAATCACAAATGAAAATGTTTGTTAATTGCTGCCCCCATTTGCCACGGTAATCTCTGGTAAATAAATTCTAGACACAGATTTGAGCTGGGTTAAAGGCTTACTAGTTACAAATCCAGCCATCACTTCTTTGACCTTTGATCCTTCAGCGCAGAGAAGTAACACAGCATCATTTAAAAAAAAAAAAAACACTTAATTAAACTCGTCTTAATCTCTATTTGTTTGGAAGGTTGTTTATTTACAGTGAGCCGCTGCCCTCACCAACATATCAAAGAAGGGCTGAGACATAGAGCCTTGCACTGCAGCAGAAGCTATGGACCTTTGATGGTGATGATGATGATGGTGATGATGATGATGGTGGTTTTAATATGGCTTGAGTCCAAAGCAGAGGGTTTAACAGCCAGACTTGGCATGTGCCTTCTGCAGGATGGATTAGCATACACTAACAATTATATAGAATTAATAAACAAACACATGCAGTTACAGTTAAAGTTAAACTATCTTGTCAGGTAAATGTCGGCTTACTCATAACTGGATATAGACATGTGAACTAGGCATTTTGACGCAGGGGACCTACACTGGTTTACACGCAATGTAACCGTGTGTGCAGGGAGGATAATATCCCAGAAAGCAAATAAATGACGTGACTTATAACCACACACACACATAAATAAATATATATATAGCCGTCACAGATAATAAACTTCACAACAGAAAACCTGTGCTGCCATAGTAATGGCACCAAGTAGCAACCGCATCAACTTGCCACGTCAATTTAAATGCCCAGGTGACACATTGCAGGGCTTCTTATCGCCGACGATACAAATAACAGAAAACAGATGCATTCAAACTACAGGGCAGCGTTCAAACTTGTAGGTAAGTGAATAAAAACAACGAACTCACCGGCATCATTTTAGCTTCGTACCGCATTTAGCTAACCAAACACAGCACGAATCCCAGTTTCGACGAAAGAAAGCTGCGGGACTGGCGATCACTTTAATCCCGGAGCCTAAACCCGCGGTCGGGTAAGGCTATACTTTCTCCTCCTGCGCGGCGGGGTCCTGTTCTGCATCGAAAACACACAGCACGTCGTAGTTTCACAAACATAAACCAGTTTCCCACCAAAAAATAAAACACACACACTAATGTTTATTCATCCCGTGTCGTTGGACCTGTTGCAAACAAATAACAAGGCCTTCGCGACAAAAGTTTTCGTTGTAGTTGCATAGAGAACTTTGCAATGGTTAGAAACTACAGGTGAATTCCAGTCGTTTCCGGAGCAAACTACCTGTAACATTAATTATAAACCTACGGAGGATATTTTGTTGGATATTTTGTAGGTTTTTCTTACCCGAAACCCCGTTGACTGACAGTGTTGCTCGACAGCTCGCAGCCTATCCCAGAGTGACGTACCGGGAGGAAACTCAGTCCACTTAGGAATTTAAGCTCCGCCTCGTTTTGGGAGCAGAAAACACCCCCAACTGCATTCTACTGTGTGTGAAATCAAACGTACCCCTTTTCGCAAACTTGTGGGAAACAAAAGTTCGTTTTTAAAACATCCACGGCCAGGGTTGTTCAGTAGGACAACAAGCAGCAGATTAAACTCACATTCAAAGTGTAGAGACCAACCGTGAGGTGGAGCGGAGATAGGTAGGAGGTCTCACTCCGCTCGTTTTTCACAAGTTGAAAGCTGAAGTTGAAGTGGGCGGAGTTATGGGGGAGCAGCTTTATCACGTAACAGCTTGACAGGGTTCACGTTACAGATTCATTTATTATGAGTTGTCAAACAATTCACCAGGGTTGGGGAGGGTTACTTTAACAATGTAATCCGATACATTTACTAATTACTTGTAAAGAAAATATAGCCCGTAACCTAATCCAAGTAACGTACTCTCTGTTACTTTTGGATTACCTCATTACCAAATATGTAAAACCAATATGTTATTATAAGATAGCAGACATAAATTGAACTTTTGCAAATAAAATGGAAAATGGAAAGATTTAAAAGTGTGTGTCGCTCAGTAAATGTAATATATATATATATATATATATATATATATATATTAAAATTGTAATACTGCTAAATAATCCCAATTTTTACCCAAACAAGGCAACTGTAATGGATTACAGTTGCCTTGTTTGTATCCTGATTACATGTCATCCGTTACACCCCAAGATTGTAATTAACTAAGATATCTCTGATGTTTAATTGACCTTCTTTATTTTAAAGGGGTTTCTGTACAAGGAGAGCCATTATGATATATGTAATATATATAAATGATATCTTAATGGCTCAGTTTATTGGTGCAGGACATCCAAATCTCTCCTCTACACCTCAGATTTCTGCTTTAACTTGCCACCTACAGAAGTTCTCTGATGACTCCTCCATTGTCAGCTGTATCACAGATGATAGGGAGGAGGAGTACAGAGACCTGATCGAGAACTTCATTCATCGTGGTGCAACAGAAACCACCTACAGATCAACACAGGGAAAACCAAGGAGCTGGTGGTGGACTTCCGGGGCCGCAAGAGGACCCCCTCCCCAGTTGAGATTAGGGGGGAGAAGGTAGAGATGGTGGACACCTACAAGTTCTTGGGG